AACTCTCTTTATCTAATTAGATTATATTTTGTATCTCATTGATTTCACAAAATGTTTTTTTTTTGGTACCATTATATTTAACTTATTCAGTTTGATCAAAATGTATAAAGGATTAAAATGGTTTTTTTTTTGGTTCTTTTGCTGCTTAGTGATGGTCTTGCTTTTGGCTGCTGTTGCTGCTGAATGACAATGTGACTGAATTGAGGCATAGCACTCTTTTGCTTATAGCGGAGACATTTGAAATGATTTAATGCTCGCCGGATTGAGTGCTGAAACACGTTAAGCTCCCAGTGCTGTCAGCAACATGCAACAGTGCTTCTGCGCTTTGAAAATAATGAGAGAAAAAGCCGGCGCTGAGAAAGGAGCTTCCCGATGGACGTGTAATCTCTGCCTGTACGCCGTTTCACTTCGCCGGGCTCTGTTTGGATAAACAGGTGCTTATGAGCCATGATTTTACATGCATTGTGCGCTCTTGACTCATGCTCTTTTCATCTGTGTTACCCTGGCCTGTGGCGGCTTAATTTAGAAGCATCTACATATGAGCTGGGAGCTGTCCGAGTCCCAGAGGGAGGCCTTTGAAGCTGCGGCTGAGAGAGGTGGAGAGGTGGAGATGGCTGGCTGGGTGTGTGACATCAGAAAAAAAACCTGCATCAGGAGTCTGCGACAAGGCCAAGGTGCAATAAAGATCTGCTTAGGCAAGACTTGAGTTAGGACCAAGTAAAGCTCAAAGAAAATGAGTCTTATTAGACAGCGAGACCAAATTACCAGAAAAACATAGTTAATTTATATCATAACCAGGGGCTTTCTTAAGGATGAGCCCAGAAGCACATAAACCACACTCTACATATTTCTTAACCTTTTACACATCTACAGTGTTTATTCTGTGGTAAAGTAATGGCTGGCAGCAGGACTGCTTCTTTCACAAAACTGGGTCCAAAACTTGTTCTGTGCATGGTGGGAAGCAGCTCACCCTGGGGCTCATTAAGCAGGGGCTGAGGCTTAAGCGGGGAACACAATCTTCCCGTCTGACATAAAGCCAGGCACGCAGCAAAAGAGTTTTAATATCTTAACAGAGTTTGAAAATGTTGAAGACCTCACACATGGTAAGAAATAATCATAGATCTTACAGTTTTGTTCCTATAGATAAGCACACGGCACTGTAAAGCTGTGCGTACGCCTTACCATCTCACTCCGATTTAGATATGATTTTTGAGTCGTACAACTAATTTTGACAACAGGCAAAATTCCTGCCAGTTTACATCAAGGCACAACAGCTGATCACAGCTCGACAAGCTGCTAGCCACCGGTCAGATGGTTTCCTAGGATGGTCTGATATTTTGGTCGTCAGACTGCACACACCTGCATTGGGAGAGCAGAGCCACGAATCGATTCCCCCGACTCTGTGAATTGTTTTCCCAATTGTGCCTGCACAAACTGACAGACGGCGTCCAAACTCACCATGGCAACAGCAGGCATGCCAAAATTAATCTGGCTTCCCCTTCCAATAACGGAAGAAACATCGACAGGAAATAACTGCAGACCTCCAGCTGACAGGGCAAATTTATTACGAATTAGCTGCAAGTAAACTTGTGTTTGTTGGTGATGCAGATTGTGCGTGTGAGAGAGGGTAAGCATTTTTGCCGATGTGTGTATTGTCAGCCATGCATATGAGAAATTAAAATTCAGAGATCTGATTTCAACCTTCAGCCCGGGAGAGTTTTCTATTGACAATTATGAACGTTTGTCTCGACTGAATTTGTACAGAGTGAGCTCTCGGGTCGGGCCCAACAATCAGGTCGAACAGTGTGAGAACATTTAACGTGAGTTTTGGTCGTGCGTCATAAATGATTCAGTTGGACAGTTTGTGCTCAAATTCCAACAGGACTTTTCTACAGTTGTACAGTGTATGCCGGTTTAACAGATTACGTTCAAAAGTGGTATTAGACAACACACTGAGAAAGGTTCAGAGGGACGGAAATGTTTTTTCTTTCTTCTAATAAATTGAAAGAGTGTGCAGGATTTTCTTTGATTCAAAGTGATGAGTTTAATGTCCTACGCACATTCTTCATGAGATAGTTGGATGTGGGAACACCTTCTTTAAAACAAGATTTCACTGGCTGAAAACTTCAAGATGTGAGCACAGAATTGAGAAACTAAGTCTTTCTATCAGGACAGCCGAGTACTGCCAGAGTTTTTCAAACTGCAGGGTGAAACCTTGTCCCGATGTTTTTCAGAAAAGAAACTCTTCAGGTCTGTTACTGAGGAGCTGGTTCTTGAAGATGGAGACATTGAGACTGAAAATGAATGTCAACATGGAGGTGAAGGCTGAGCTGAGCGTGAGGAGCTTGAAGGAAGCTGCAGAGAGCACCACGCCTCGGCCTCGGCAGTCTCCTGCCTCGTTACATAACACCAGAGCCTACACCATTAGATAACCCTGCAGGTTTTATTCTACAACTTTTCTCTCTGTGCTCCTAAATGAGAAAAGTATTACTTTTTAAATGTGTGTAAATATTGAGCTTCAGACTTTAAAGTGTTAAACCTCTTCTGCTTCGAACACTCTGGCTTTTTAATTGTGTTCAAACGTATGGTTCAGAGCGTGCCGACGCCTCAGGGTGCTGCTGCTGCTCCTGTGGTTCTAAACAATCTGTTTTGTTTATTTTTAGTCCCTCTCTCAGCCAACTGTGTTTGAGGAAGTTTGTGGTACATAACAGTGTCCCCGCTTCAGGGGATCATCTCAGCTGGAGCAGGAGGCTGTGGCTCAGTTGGTAGAGTCGGTCGTACATCAACGGGAAGGTCGAGGGTTCGATCCCCAGCTTCTGCTGCAACATGTCCGATGTGTCCTTGAGCAAGACACATAACCCCAAGTTGCTCCAGCTGCTTTGGCGGCGTGTGAATGCGTATGAATAGGATTAGTTACTTCATTTCACATAGCGATCTCTGCCATCAGTGTGTGAATGGGTCGGTGTGACATGTGGTGAAAAAGCACTTTGAGTAGTCCGCCTACTGTCAACATTTTGTTGTATTAACGGTAAATGGACTGTAGTCTTCTGAGACAGCATTTCCAGCATGGCGGCTGCTGCTGCTGCTGCTGAGCCTCCAGAGCACCCTGCTGTAACAGATGGGTGACATCACCCAAGCTTCGTCCATTAATAGTTACCTTCTATAGTTAAGTTCAGACTGTGTGTGGCAGTAATGGTCATTAAATCATATTTGTCTTCATGACTGTGAGTTTCTTGCAGATATTGGGTTTCTGAGAAGGATTCTTCAAATATGTTCAATAAAGATTTGTTTACAAGATGCACTGAATTAGACATTTTACAGTAGGAAATAAACTAGTCCGTGTGCTCAGGGGGCAAACTGTTCATAATTCTTGTTTCTTACAGCATCGGCAAACATTTTTACTAATAAAATGTTCAGTAGATACATAATTTGAGTGCATGATAGCCTGATGATGTATTTTTAGAGCTGCCATCATGATTTGGAATATTGCTGGAGATTATTGCCAAAAAAAAAAAACACTGACCCACCTTTGACAATTGCTTCTTTTTAGATAATTTTTCTTCTCAAATTAACAGTAAATTCAATTTCACTGGTTGTTAAATACGAAGTTACTCAAGCAGTGAATTAAACAAAAAATTGAGAAAAGAACAGAGTTGAGAAAATGGAGTGAAAACAGCTGACACTATTTTCCGGTACAAGTAACAAAATAAGAACTATCATTGTCCTCATTAACACTGCAGACCTTTCACATGTATTAATACAAACTAACACTGTGCTTGTAAGCTCTGTTTAAACTGCCTTTTTCAGGTTGAATTACAGATCATAACATAACAGCAGGAATATTCATTATGATGTAAAGGTGCAACCCCAGAAATTGCAAAGTTTTACGAGTGTATTTCACATAACAAGGGTGACAGAGTTCACTTTTATACTGTAACAAGCGGCTACAGGACGTACACATGTGATGTTATTAGATAATTTGTTTAAAAATAGTTATCTTTTGCAGAGTGGGATTTTGAACAGCACTTTAAAGACAGTGCACCATCATTACGTCTCTACATTCATATTGATTCCACAACAGTGTGTCCGAGTCTCTGAATTCACCTTGCGTAGCGGCATCTTTGGAAGTACAATGTGTAGAGAAACTGCAGGTGCTCCACATACACACACACACACACACACACACAGTCAGATTAAGCACACACACAGACAGTGTTCTCCCCCTGATGCTTCCTCTTATCCCAGCTTGCCCCCTGTACTGTAACGCCTCTGTTCCAACCTTCAATGGCAGGACTTCATCCCCCCCCCTTTATGGCCATGTGTCATTCATAGTGAAGTGGAGATGTCACAGGGACATAAATATCGAGCATTGAACAGGCAGTCTTGAATAAGGCTAGGACCATATTGAGCCATTACACTAAAGCCTTGTGTGTGTGTCTGTGTGTGTGTCTGTGTGTGCGCTTGTGTGTAAGATGGTGAGTTTTATTCTGCATACTTTCCTTGCAGCCATGTCTTAGCTGTTAAATGGCCTCATAACACATCAAGGCTGAAAGAGAAAGGTCCAACATGTCCAGTAAATCAGCTGGGTCGAGCACTGGTTCTATTTGTTGACTCTGTCCTATTCAGACGCACTGACATGGAACATAAGGCAAAGACACAACATGTTGTCGATGCTCCAGGCCTTGCTGCACACTGTCCTCTGTACTAACACTAAACCTGGATATTGACTTTTTTTTTAACAACTCCAACCACACATTAACTTTATTCTTTTTCTCTCTCCTTCACTTCTCCTTAAACCTCCTTCCTACATTTCTCATTCTTCCATCTCCTATATCCTTGTCTCCTCTCTCCATGCTTCACCTTTTCTCACTTCTCTCGTTCTCTGTTTCTTTTTCCGACCCCTTCCCCCCCCCCCTTCCGACCCCCCTCTCCACTGCTATCACTTCTATAAACAAATCTCTCTCCATTCTACACTCCCTCCCTCCCTTCCTCCCCCTCAGGGCATCAGCAGCCTGTTCAGCTCTCTGAAGGTGGTCCGCCTGCTGCGTTTGGGCCGTGTGGCCCGGAAACTGGACCACTACCTGGAGTATGGAGCAGCTGTTTTGGTGCTGCTGGTGTGCGTGTTCGGACTGGTGGCTCACTGGCTTGCCTGCATCTGGTAAACAGTTTTTCTTTGTAAACCATCATTAAGAGCCTGTCGATTTCCTCGCAGTTTGGTGACATTAAAAATCTCCTGCTGGCTGCTGTGATTTGACTTGTTTTTCAAACTGTTCCTAATTAGTTCTGTATGCTAAATATTGTCCTCCCCATCTGTACAATACAAATCATCTGCTGCTGTTTTGTCTAATTGCAAGCGCTGTTTTTTTTTCTTTTCTTCTGTCTAACAACATTTATTTATGGCTGATAACAAATGCTTTCTGCTCCCACAAAGGAAAGCCGAACCCATTTTAATCATTCTTTTATTAACAAGCAAGACACCAATGATTGTTCTCCTACTTTAAGACTGAGTCTGAGGTCAAATTAGCAGTTTAACTTGACATAAACGTCCAAACAGAACAGCTGATTTCATCCCCCAAAGCTGCGTTAAGTTTTCATATTAAGATGAATGTGAAAAATAAATGACTGTAATAACAGAATATGAGCCTTGACAGACCTAAGTGAGTCTTATTTATGCTCCACAGTCTGCGCTTACAATGATTAATGGTTTTAATAACCAGATTTAAGGATCACTAAGTAGCTTGTCTCATATTTGTAAAGCAAATGAAGAGACTTTAAGTTTATATTAGACATACTGTGCATAAATAATGGAAGGATCAAGACATTTTTGGTGTTTGAGGGGGAGTTTTGTCCTCTAGTTACAAGGACGTGCGTCAGTTCTCTGCTTTAACGCGCTTTTTTTAAAGACAGGCAACCTTGCCTCCTCTTATTTATCTATTACTAATTTGTTTTGCCAATTACATTTGAATGGGAAACTAAATTGCTGCCTGTGGCGTTGGTTACACATTGCACTGACTGCTGGGAGGTTTTGACTTGTTTTGAAACATATTATTTAATTCTGGCTGTTTAGGCTGTTTCTAGTGAATGTTAATCATTTTGTCTTACACCTTTCCCCGAGGCAGCAATTTAAGGCAACATAAATAACTGTACTAAAACAGTAAATCTTAAAGCTCTTGGTATTGTTTGCTTTGGTTTGTCGTAACAGGCATCGGTATTAATTCCAGTCTGTTTCATATTTAGCTCAAATTCCTCACAGGAGCTTTAAACTCCCGTCATTCCTACTTAACAGACTCATTCTTCTGATATTGTCCTCATTAGGTACAGTATAGGAGACTATGAGGTCATCGACGAAGCAACAAACACCATAAAGATGGACAGTTGGCTCTACCAGCTAGCTATCAACATCGGATCACCTTACCGCTACAACGCCAGCGGATCGGGCCAATGGGAGGGCGGCCCTGGGAAAGACTCTCTGTACATCACCTCTTTGTATTTCACCATGACCAGCCTGACGACCATCGGCTTTGGAAACATAGCCCCCTCTACGGACGGGGAGAAGATCTTCTCTGTGGCCATGATGATGGTGGGATGTGAGTATGAGATATGTGTTGCAGCTGTGGCTTGCTGGAGGCCAGGCTGTATCAGATGTTTTGGTTTGTTGCATTTCAGAGCGTGAAAAAGTACACTAGGTCAGTTTGATTCAGGAGATAACACTGTACTGCTGTGCAATGTTGTACACTGAGAGGAAATCAACTGAGGCTGCTACCTTTAGGGAATTCTGGTGGTGGAGTTTTTGATGATGTGTTGATGTCAGTTTGAAGCAAACTTTTGTGCTGTGTAAAAGTTTCACTACTTGCTGGTTGTATTGTGTAACCAATGTAGCTTACAGTTAAAATGTTGGTTTGTGTTGGTTGGCCCAAGAGTTTGTTTCAGTGATTGATTCATTACGCAATTTCCACTAAATGAGGTTCTAGTAATCCTTATCCACAGTGGGAGCAAAATGGTTCATTTCAGCTGCTGTCTCTTTAATGTCCCCCTTCCCACTTTCCTCCGATTGGCCAGCTACTTTTGCAGTCGAAGGGACATTTTGAGCGAGATTTCGGCTGGGCGTGTCCTATAACATTACTCCATCTCTTGCGGAGTCTTGCAGAGTTCATCTCATTTATAGCAGAAGGAAACTACGTCCTGGGATTATGTCAACAAATGTGTATCTAAAAAAAAAAAAAACGTTGCTGAGGTTTAGTATGGACATCCAACATTGTAACATTATATGTATTTAAATATGGATCAGAATAATTGAACTCCTTTAAAGTTACCACCAATGACACCTCACATTTTTTTCTTTTTTGCATTATCTGTTTTACTATATGGAAATGTTGGGGCAGATTTAATGGAGCTTGTTAGCTGGAGCGTTGTTGTTAATTCAGTTGTACAGCACACAGAGGCTGCACACAGATCTGCACAGCAGGAGACTCCACACTGACGATGAAAGAAGCCGAAAACTGTGCAGAATAATAAAAGAGAGCATGTGACAGACATGATTAATAGCAAACTGAGCTGCCTGTGGTTAATCTGAGAAATCATCGGAACAAACAAGGGAGCCACAAGATATGAGTGGGTAACAGTGAGGGGGGAAAATAACTTTTGTATCACAGCTTCTTTGTGTAAGAGATATGGTTTAACTCTACAACAAATTTCAGTGTCTCGAGTAGAAAAAATCCCTAACTTCAGTATATTGTATTACAAAAGATAATGTCATTTAACAGGATTCATCTTTCAGTTTGTTGCAAAGCTTCACAAATTAAATTTGTGCGACAAGACTGGAGTTCTTATCCATTCCCAAACCTGCAGTGAAATTAAACTATTATCACTCCTTAACCATTGTCAAGCATTTGAGCTGAATCTTACAACACATTAACTGTATGACTTATAAGGTAGACACAGGGCGACGCAGTAGTTTTTTATAAGGTCTTTGATTGGTGTCTTCCCCCCCCATCCCCCATGTTTGTATTTGGACTGCAGTTTACATCAGATCCTCAGATTAGTATTTTTGTTAATGATGGACTTTTATCAACCTGCCCTTACTGTAAACATTTTAAACAGCACCTTCATGTTGCATCAACAAGGTCGATAAATGTTGAAGGTTCATAGTTTGCAGCTACATGCAAATTGAAGATTTTCTAGCCACAGATGAGTCCCTCCAGATTTTCTGAGGGGTTGGGAGTAAAATCGGATAGCATTATGTGATTTTCTCTTCATAATGGTTTCTCCAAAGAAACTAAACATCCAGAGATCAGCCCTAACCTCATGACCAACTACCTAATACTGTTTGTGCCCCTCTCATCAGTCCACGTTTTTATTGTTGAAACTGTCTGGATCTTAAGCAGCTTCCAGTGGAAATATCAGGAGAGTCATACTTTCTGCTCTTAACAGCATATTTGCTGTTTTATATCTTGTAGTCATGGTTTTACACTCTGTCGTAATGGAACACCCGCAGTCTGATTTGGGAGATTTGTTTTTCCAAAAGTGGCAAATTTACAACAAAAGTGTTTCTCTCTGCTGGCCTGATGGAGCTTGTGTCTATATCCTGCAGGAACACTTGCTTTCAGTGCATCAATTATTAAAGTTTATGTAGAGTCTGCAAAACTCAAAGTACATATTCTTACTTTGAGTACTTCCTTTTTTTCTACCAAGTGGCTCCCTTGAGGCTTTGACGGAGGAAAACAAACAGAAAAGTTGTTTTGAGGATTGGTTCAACGTTAAGGAGACATGCAACTGCATTAATTTCATATAAAAAAATAGAAAAGATGTTGGTATGTCATCCCGACTGGACGGATATGCTGTTAGGTTTCTGTGATAACATTTCGGTAACCCTTCCTTTTACAAATCAGTACCAGCTAACTTACTGAGTAACTATAGATGTTTTACTAACCTACATGCGACAAGTTTGTGGTGAGTGATCAATAACAGGTAAGGAAAGCACTGATGTAATTCTTCATAGTTTCTGAGGTAAATGAATCATTAGCGGGTACGGTCAGGGACAATAACCATAATAATCAAAGTAATCTATTGGAGTATTATCTTAAATTCTTAACAGGACAAAATAAAGTGTGTGGGGCATTTCTATGAAATTGTTTCCTAGTGTCCTGGAATGCACACAATGATATCTGAGTTGTTATCATCTGAAACCAGTCAGAACTGCCTGGTACTTAACTGAAGTTATTGGTAATGCTGGAGGTTTTTCTTTTTTTTCTCTTCAGCTGTAGTTTCCCTGTATTTCCAGTGATAGTACACCATAATGCACCACAATGACCATGCAATTCTTGGATTAATACCTGGTAATTTGGGGACCCTAAAAGGAAGGGCGACCAAAATATATTTAATGTGAATATCTTATTACTTAATTGTGTGCTAATGTGTAAGGTATATGCATTTTTGTTACCAAATGACTGATTAGCATTCCAGATGTACCTGCACCAGGAATCTCGTTCCTGTCTTCTTTTTTTTCCCTCTTGCTTTCTTCCGCAGCTGTTCAACCTGTTTGTACGTTGTGTTTTGTCCTGAAAGCTTCCTGCCTTCAGGCCAAAAGCAGCTGTACATTATTCAACACATTTAGTATACTTGGACAGTCATGAGGAGCGCTCGCTTTGTCTCATCATGCAAATAATCTGCCAACATGCAAACCTGCTGATATGGAACCGTTTTTAGATTGTTGTTTTCTGCTCAATAAACTCGGAAACGATTCTGTGTTGATGGAGCAACAGGGACATGATTCCTCGAAATCTGTTACACCATGTGAATAGGAATAGAGTTTCTGTTTCCATGGGCTGTTTATTTTCAGAGTTGCTCGGCGTATTGTTGTCACAAAAAACATTCACTCAGATATTCATAGATATTATGTTTATTGGCCTATTTTTTTTCTTCTGAATTTTGTCCTTTACAAAGCATTAAGTCTGTGCCTTCATTTTGTTCTTTCTGCTGCTCTACACAAATGAGCGGTGTTGCACGTGTGCAGCCCAGCGTACGCTGAATCTGTATTTAGTGATTTTTATAGCAAGAAAAGAAAGTTGTATACTGTAGCAGAGCAGAAGGAAGAGGCTGGAGGTAGGGTTGCTAGATATGATTCCAACATATCTGATTCTTATACGAGTAGTGGCAGCTGGTCAACAGAGGGCACTAGGGTGCACCCCGTCACCCCCTTACAAGGAGAATGACAGACGTTCGGATGTTAAATATAAAGTTACCATAAAAAGGTACCTTACAGATAGACCTGTATGGTTTGTTACATTGTAGGTGTAAAAACATCCACTGAGCTCCAGCCTGAAATATAACAGTCCTGATAACAGCATTTGAGCTTCCCACTCTGAGTGTGACGTCACAGGAACATGGCCGCTGCGAAAAATTGTATATGATCCAGACTAGTGCCTTAACCTTAACCCTTAATCTGACCAAAAGTTATGTTTGATTTAAAAAATCACCTCTACACAGTATGTACTGATAAAGAAATTAGCAATTAAGCCCAAAATATTTTTTTGCAGCAGTCTGTAGGTATATTTATTTCTGCTTTAAAGATAGGCATTTTAATATAGGATTCCTTCGTTTTTTGAGCCGGCCTCATGCAGAGCATGGAACTGCAGTCTTTTGCACTTCAGCATTAGCTTCTTTTCTTCAACACCAGAGGTTGGTTACTTTAAAAAAATATTTAAGTTGTAATAATTTGGTTACATGCAAATAGGTCTCGATTGAAGTCTGTCTTCTTTCATCTTTTTGCTGGTCACTCTTCCTACAGTGCCCCTCAGCATTTTGAAGCAGAAGAACTTTCAACTCTTGCCAAGTTTTGTGAAGCAGAAATCAGTGGATCCCTCTTTTGTGGCGGCTCATGTGGATGCACAAAGATCAAGGCTTAGTTCATACAGGCACAGAGAAATAACAGAGCATTATGGGTCCAAAAAGAAGCTCTCTCTCCTATAAGAACAAACTGTACTTGCAAAGTATCCATCATATTGTCTGCATCTGCCCAGAAATCTACAGGAACAAGACGTACAAACTATAAACAACTTGTGAGTCCAGAAACACAAGGCAAATAGCCAGTTTTTATTTTTAGAGGCGTTCAAGTGTTTTCACATTATTCCTTTAAGTGTTTGGCAGGGAACACCAGTGTTCCTCCTGTTGTACAAACCTTAAAGCCAATTTTCAATTTGCCAGAACTCCAGAGGATCCTGTCTGTGCAAAGTGTTATGATTAAGCCATTTTTATAAAGGACTATGTTGATAAGAGATGCTGGGTGAAAACAAGCGTTTTAAAACAGCCAAATCTCATTTTGGAACAACAGTGTTTTTGTCCCGGTGCAACCTTTTTTCTATCGTGGAGTTTAGTATCGGGCTGAGCCAGAACCTCCCTGGGCTGTTCTCCATATTGTTTGTTTTCTGGCAACTGGACAGCAAGCAGCCTCAGCTTGCTAGTAAACAATACAGCGACATGACATGCTCCTCAGTGTCACTTCTGTCTGGCTGTGACTGATAGTCTTCCTGGCGTGGACAACCATCGACAGGCTGTGTGGGCAGATTTCTGATCTTAGCGACTGAGAGCT